TAGTGGATGAAAAGTATCAGAAGGTAAAACATAAAATAAGAGTTTAATTGGTTTTTACAGACCCATGTTTAAAACAAAAAAACCTTATGTGTTTATATTCCAGAGTACCTATTTTGTGAAAAGTCTGCTCTCAATTTAAAATATAATCACTATTGTGAGGGAAAGTTATAATTAAATTAAGGAAATGGGTTTGTGTGATTGCATGTTAGTGGTTACTTAAAAAAACTTTAAAGCCAGCATACTATTTTTAGCTTGTGAGTAAGTGTAATGCTGTAGGTTGCTAAAACCAAGGAAAGCCCTATGAACTTTGCTTTAAAGTAAGACAGTATGACGTGCGTTTCGCCCAGTGAAATAAATCAGCTGTGCTGGGACACAACCCAGCATAGCTGATCTGCTTCATTTGGCACCATCTATTTATTGGATAAGCTCACTATAATTTGGTTTCGTTTACATTATATTTTTGGAGTGACTTGCGTTTTTAATTCATTCCAGAACTCTGTAGGAGAAACTTAACAGTTTTAAGTAAGAATCAAAACAGCTTGTGAGCAAATTTAAAAAAAAAAGTGCATGCTATTATGACAAACACAATGTAAAATGGTGCAACCTGAAAGACGCTATATTTTTATAGAAATAATAACAAACACTGTACCTTGTAGAGGGATGTGGTGCTCAACCTTTTGTCTGGAAGGCCAGATGGGCACTGCCCACCCCAATCCTTTCACAAGCCAGATCCAGTGGGATCCCATCTGACCACACATGGGGGGGGGGGGGAGAAGGAGGTGGGTGCAGCCTGGCCCAATCCAGCCACACTGTGGAAGGGGGCCTAACCTGGCTGGGGAGGGGAGCAGAGGGGGAAGGGGCTGTGACTTGGCCCTGATCCAGCCCTGAGGGGACATGGCCTGAGTCCAACCTGGCTGGGCTGAAGGAAGGGGCCTGGCCCCACTGGAGGAGGGAGGGTGGTCCAGCCCCAACCTGGCCAGGTAGAGGGAAGGAGGTTCAATCCAGCCCCACGGAGGGGAAGAGGGCACAGCCCAGCCCCAGTATGGGGGGGAGGTGGAAGAGTGTGGAGCCCAGGCCCGCTGGAGGAAGGAGGCACGGCTGAGCCTGGCTCCAACCTGGCTGTGTGAATGAAGGGGGTATGGCCTGGTTCTGATCCAGCTGTTTTGGGGGGACGGTAATAGCTCAGCTCTGCCCCACCCCACAGGCCTTGGGATTTTGGTAGATTGTCTCTACTTTAGAGTGATGCCCACAACTGGATATAGCTGAAGCCTTGCTAGCTTAGGACAGAGTAAAATAATTACCTCAAGTATTTTATGTACGCCCCTGCTTGTACTACATCTCTGCATGAACTTTGCCTTTTTTCCTCAACATAGTTGTTAATTTATTCAGTTTGGAATCCATAATCATCTCCAGATTCTTTTCTCCAGTGCAGCAACTTAGCCAGTTATTCCCAATCTGGATTTGAGCATATGATTTCTCCTTCCTACATGTAGCTCTTTGCATGTGCATTTATTGAATATCTTTAATCACAGATCTATCTCTGTCAAGATTGCACTTGTAACAAGTGCTGGGACCCAGGGCCAGCTGGGATGTAGAGCAAGAGCCACATGGCTGTCAGTGGGCTTCAGCTCTAGGGTACCCTCCCCCTCTTTCTTCAACTGCCATGCCTTTGTTGGAATTATTGGAATGTGAAAAGGGAGGCTGCCTCAAGGTCCTAGAACAAACCCTAGGTTTTCAGACTGCCAACAGCTCCCCCTCAGATCCTGCCAGTCCCAGTCCTGCACTTGCACCAGGTTGGCCCTCCTGACCCATCCAGTTCTCCAGGGCACCTGTTACCTTGTGCAGTATTTGTGGCCTCTGAGACCTCCCCTGTAGCCATGCCCATGCCTTGCAAATGTTGCTGTACAATCAATCACTTTCCCTTGTTGGGGCTTTGGCCTTCATGGCTCTGCACCCCTTTCCTCTCACTGGGTCCTCTAGCCCAGGCCCACTATACTAGCCCAGTCTCTGCCCTGCTCAGGCCCTGGGCCCTCCTGGCCTTGTCTCTGCTCTGTTCAGGCACTGCTAGGACCACCTCCACACCGATAGTCACCACTTAGTCCACTTGTTTAAACTATCACAAAGGAATAAACCCTCTGGCTATAACACAAACTCTATGCTAGGTCTGAACCTAAACATCAGCTCCCTGGCTGTACCACAAAACTCCTTCCTACTCTGAGTCACATTTCCCCTGCAAGTCAGCAGCATCCTATTTGCATTTCCTTAAGATGCCCCAGATGTCAGCCAGGAACTCCTCTGCAGTCCTCCTGCACAGGAGCATTTTCCACTGCAGCCTGCAGGGCCAGACGGCCCACCCTGGCTCAGGCCCTGGGTTTATATTCTCACTAAGCCCTGCCTTCTTCTCAGGTGACTTCCCTATCCTTTTACAAGAATTCTCATTTGGGCTTGATGAGCAGCCTCTCTTTCCTCCTGCAGCTAACCTGTGGTCAGCTGCCTGGGCTTCATCCGCTGCAATTTCTCACTTAAAGTAACAGGAGCTGTAAGCTCCCTGTTACATTGTTTCATTCTGATCATATTCTCCAAAGCAGTGATTCTCAACCTTTTTTGTACCAGGACCTATTTGTAAACATTGATGGCCAGTCTGCCTCAATAAATAGTTCAAGTAGAAAAAAGCCCCCTAGCCCTATTTGTGGCCATCACTCATGACCATCTGCCCCTCATCACCAGGCCCTGCCCCCACCCCAGTATATGGGATGGGGGACCCCAAGCAGCCTCTGGCAAGCTGGAACTCTGCTAGCCTGCAAGAGACACCATTTCCTAGATTTTTATCCTTTAAAGGAAAATACATTTTTAAAGTTTGTTGATCCATTTTTCTGTGACCCTTTCATATATTCTTGCAACCTTACTTTTGGGTAGCGACCCATGGGTTGAGAAACCTGTTTCAAAGCATTGCATCTCTTCTCAGCTTCATGCAACCTGCAAATGATATAATCCTAGCCTCTACTCTAGCATTCAACTTTGTTAATAAAATATTGAATAGACCCAGGACAGACTCCTGCAGGACCTAACCCAAAACATCCTATCATTTTAACTGAGAGTCACTGTTAACTTCCCTCAGTACAGTTTTGCAACTAGCTGTCCACTCACATTATGCTGTTTTCATCTAGATCATGGGTCATCGACCTTTTAGGAACAGCAGGTCACTTTAAGACAGCTAGGTCTGAAGGTGGGTAGTTGTTTCTGACCTGGCAACCATCACTCCTCCTTTCTCTGCTGCTAACATCCCCACTGCCAACCTGGCTTCACAGGCCAGATCCAGGCTGTGGGCCATGAACTGCCAACCCCTGATCTGAATCCTGTTTCCCTAGTCTGCTTATGAAAACATACAATAGGACACTGCCAAAAGCTTTACTGAAGATTGCCAAAAACGTAATTAGAAATTAGAATGGTTTGACACAATTTGTTCTTGATGAATCCATGTTGCTAGCTTACCATTACTTCCTTATTTTCAGAGTCCCTGTACATTTTTTGTCAATATTTTTTTCTGACATGAGCATTAGGCCAACAGAACATTTTATCCCCCTTTCCCCATTTTTCCTCCCCTGACAGAATTGTTTACACTGGTATATACCAACCCAAAGTTTTCACAAAGTAAAGACAGACAGCATTTTCTACAGGTCTCACTGGCAGTCTGATACTAAAACACTAGTATTTGTCTATGGCTTCCAAAGTATATAACTGGTACAGTGAGTTAAAAATGACAATATTTTTTAAACCAAAGAGACAATAAGGAGGCAAAGCAACCCCCCAAAAACCCAATCCTGATCATAGTTCTTTCCTTTGAGTGATTTAATAGCATAACTAGGTTGCTGTTCACATGTTTCTATGCAGTATCTGCCGATAAACAATGTGAACCCTGACTGTTGCCTCTGGGCTCTACCACATTATAAATATGCAATAATAAATTTAATAAGAAATGGCAGCATGTAAAGGTTAGCTTAGGGGAGTAGACACTGATTAAGAATGATATATGTACTAAATGATCAATCTGACTCTGTATAGTAGTTTTCTGTCTGAGATGCTATATCAAAGGGTGTTCTCTACCTTTTACATTTTTCTCCCTGTTACTTGGCTTTTTTCTTCAATTCTAATATTATAAAAGCCTAAGTCTGTCCATCTGTCTGTAATACTTTATTCGAAAAAGCGTTCTGACAGAAGGCAGCCTGCCGCTATGATGGTGGGGACACAGGGGCCTTGCCTCCCTGCCCTGCTCCCTGAAGGCAGCAGCAACAAAGTGGATGGGGGGGTGGGGTGTGAGGCCAGCAGGCCCAACGTGAGGGGGAGTGGGTCCAGACCCCGAGCAGCAGAAGAGAGGGGGAGTGGGTCCAGATGAAGGGGGGAGGGAGGCCTGGGGCTCCATCCCTGCCTGTCATTCTTGATGGGTAATTGGCTAGTTTCCTTATAACAAACCAGTAACCAAAAGGTAAACCATCATCTCACATGCTCTTAATTATTTTCCAGTTGTTAGCTTTCTTATACTCAGTAAGCATGCAATAATAATAATGGTGAAAGGAAAAAATTATGGTATAAAAATCTTTCAGTAGTCTTACACAGGACTGTCCGATTTTTTGAGTCCCTGAGGGCCAGATACAGCTCCCCGCCAGGCCACATGCCATGCTACGTGCCACGCACATCCCCCACTGGGATCCATGCCACACAGGCTGCAACCTGTTGCACTGATCAGCAGGCACCCTGCTGCTGTGCTATTCTGCGCTGGCACCTCCACCTGGGCCCAGCAGGCCCAGGGGAAGGCAGAAGGTGGAAGCTGGAGAAAGGAAGGGTAGCTCAGAAACCTTGACAGCAGCAGCAACCAAAACAATGGGGGAGCGGTGCCCAAACCATGAGCCTGGAAGCCAGTAGTTAATGCCTCATAGGCCATTCATCCTGCCATTTGGACAGCCCTGGTCTAACATACCTTAATGAAAAAAAAGTCAACATACCTTAACTTTAGAGTTTTCTATCAAATGCTGGGCCATTGATTTTATCAGAACTTCGAAGAAAAACCAAGAATACTGCAAAGTAAATAAATTATGACTTTACATAAAACTGTCAAGATGGTCTAAAATTTCCAAAACTAAGTTAATCATTTTATAGTAAAAAACTTGAACGTAATTAAGTTTGCATGTCTATTAGTAAAAGAGATGACAATGTTTCATATTATTAATTCTGAGGATTGTGCATAAAGGACAAAATTAGAGTTTTCAACACACACCTTAAGGAGCTTGTTGCTTGTAAGAAAGTCAGCAGATGGTTTTAAAATTGTTGTCATGGATTTGGTCAGCTCTTCATGTACTGTCTTGTATTCAGAAGCAAAGTAAGGCTCAGCTTTATACGCATACTTGGAGGAAAAAGGAAAACATATATTATAGTGCATTCAAACAGATGCAACTGAGAATATTTTTAATGAAAGTATTTAAAAAAAATAAAAACAGAAGAGACAAAGTGTTTTATTTTATTTTACCTTGACATATGACCTCAGGTAGCTATCCAGCCCTTCTTCATGGCATTGGGCAACAATATGGATAATAACCCTAAACAGAAGTTATTCTTCAATTACACATTTGTACACTTCAGCAAATAAATACTACATAAAGAGATCTCAATTGGGCACAAATCATCTGTTATTTAAACTGACTGGGCCATTTAAAATTTACCTGGTCACATTGACTGCAACTTCCTCTTGACTAGTTCTGGTGAGAACTCGAAACAATTGGTTTAGAATGGTAGGGAGGAAAGCTATCATCACATGACCTTCCATAGCATGAAGACTCTAAGAGAAGGAAAGAGAGATATAATATAGCTTCACTGAAGTGAATGCATTTACACTTCTGACATTCTCTACAATGTACTTCAATAGCCATGTTTTGAGAAAGCCTTGGTTATGTTGTATTATGTTGGTTATGTTGTATTATACAAAGTTCATAAGCTAAAGGAAAGACCACTGTGGTCTATGTGGTAATAATTTTTAAATGTTTAAAAAAAATATATTTAAAAAAATGTACTTCAACTTTGAGAGGATCAAAATGATACCATTTTGTCAAGAAATTTAGGCCTAAAATTTAGATTTTATTACAATTTTAGATTTTTTTTTTTGAAGTACTCACATTCTCATTTGTGGTTAGGTTGGGGTGTTCGTATAAACATGATGGTCCAGGAAATATAATAAAATGTCCTGGTATTATGTACACCTTTTACTGCACAAACTGAATAGCTGGGAATGAAGTTTACTTTTCAAGTAATTAGCAATTTGTTGCAGACTGACATGACTACCATCAATTTTTCCCCACCATGTCCCAGTTTTATTAACTGCTAATAAATTTTAAACCACTGATATGCTGAGATCACTGCCTAGCATGATCAACAGTCTCTCAACGTTACCAGTCTGTACCCATGTATTGTTTCATGTCTTATATTTAGATTGCACTCCAGGGAAGAGATCCCATTTTGGAATTATGTTTGCATACTGCCTACTGCAAAGAGGGCCCTATTCATGACTGGGGCTCATAAGTGGTATGGCAATATGGTAATATAAATGAATAATTAAATCTATTACTTGCGACCATTTTGTACCTTAAGATACTTTACGAGATCAGTTCCTAGTCCCTGAGCTCCAGACTCAGTTTTCTGACAGTACTGAAAAAAATTGTGTAAGTGCTGGTCCTAACAAAAACAAAAAGAGAACCAGAAAGTTAAAACAATAACTAATATTTATACTAATGACCAAAATGAAACACACCACCACCTCAATTTTAAAAAATATTGTCTTATGTTTAGGCTTCCCAGTTGCATTTCAAAGTGCAAGACAGATACATGTTTAACACTCAAAGGGGAGGAGAGAATGGAGGGGGGTGGGGAAATCAATGCATACTTAGAAAGTAAAGCATTTACTCTTCTGAGAAAGACATTTCATCTCTTTCATTAGCATGAAATAGATCCAATATTTCTGATTAATCATTACATAAAATTGCATTTTATATTCCCTTAGAAGTACAAACGAAGAAAATATACTACTTATAACTACAATTCTCTGAATTAAGGCAAGGCAGCACCTGAGATCCTCATTCACTTGTTACATGTATCATACAATTACCAAGTTAATTGTGTAATTCATTTAGATCAGCTACATATGCAAATTATCATACTATTAAGAAGTCAGAACCAGCTATAAAAGTTACTGCTGGAAAATGTGTAATAACTTTATAGCTAGTTGCTATCCAGCATTATTTTGCACATATTGCAGGGTCTGCCCCAACCACAGAGGTGCATCATGTACAACCAAGGCTAGGAGTCCTGGAGTAGAAGACACAGCCCCGGCAGTGTCCCATGGGTGCTGGGAGGGAGAATCCTGCAGCTGATGGGACTCTCCCTCCTACAGCCCCCTGCAGGTGCAGGACTATTGGTCCTGGTAGCTGTGGGGCACTGCCACAGCTGCAAGTCCCATCATCTGTGGGACTCACAGCTGCAGGAGTTTTGTTACTTACACATGGTGCAAGGGGAGGCCAGGATGGTAATCCCAGGCTCCCCCTTTACTAGCAATAAGACGTGATACCATCTGATGCTGTATCCCACAAATCACACCTCCTGCCATGCACATGTGGCATGGCAGGAGATGAGACTGTGTGGATTGTGCATCAGATCCTATCACACCTTTACCTGAATGTCTACATGGGCCCTTAGAGGCTAAATGGTTAGGCTCTTTGTCTCTAAACCAGGGATTTCCAAACATTTTAGACTCAAAAACCCCTCCAAAACTTTTAAGAATTTAGTGGCACCCCTTTTAAAAAAGCTAATATATTATGAATAATCATTATGTTTCTATTATTAATATGATATTAACTGATTAAATAATTATATTATATTCACCTCTTCAGGTTGCTGTAGTGGAGTGCTTCCCTAGCTCTGCCTGGTTCAACAAACATTTGTTCCAGTGCAGCAGTGGACACTATACACATGGCACCAAGTCACTGAGGGGGGGAGTCAGGGATCACTGGGCCAAGGTCTTTCCCTTGTTTCCCCACTGAATTCCAGCCATGGGGCCATAATGGACAATCTGGGGACACCCCACCGGCAGGGACAAAGTGCCAGGCTGCACCATATATGCAGGTGGGGAGTGCTAAGGGGATGAGCAAAAGGACCTACATAGGCAGGCCAAGGATGTGCTATGGCATAGTCAGTGCCCCCACCATGGTGTAGTTTTAACCCAAGGCAGTGGCAACCTCAAGACAGAGCCTCTGCCACCAGGCAGAACTGCACCATGCACCTTGATTTTCAGGAGGCACACTGGAGCCAACCTGGGAAGAGGTGCTGCAGAAGCAGCGTGCTTGCCTGTCTAATGGAATGCAACACAGTGCATGGTGCAGTTTCACCCCACAGCAGTAGTATTGGCAGCACCAGGCACTGTGGTGCCTCTGGCAGGGTCTCACAGCCAGTTGAGAATAAAAGTTCTAGACTGAGGTATGTATTCAATAATAATAAGAGATTCAGTCTCTAGAGACTACGGTGCTACCCTGCCCTGTCTTCTACCTAATTAACCAGTTAGTCTCTAAATGATCTTAGATGATCTTCAGATCAAGTACTTGTGAAGGCACCTACATCTAGTTATAAGAAATTAAACATTTTAAACTTACCTGTGTATACACAGTAGAAACTAGATGAGTGCAAATTTTTAACAGTGGTTTACCTCCATCTACCCATTTAATTTCAGGACCGGAATGCTGTATGCACACAGGAGGGAACATAGAATATTCTATCAGTATACCAGCCCAAAACAGGACAGTCCTTTGTTTACGTACCATATATACATATACTGCAATCCCTTCTCTGTTGCTAACCAATTATTAACTTCAGGATACACACTTTTTTATTCCATGTAAGCACAGAACAGCAATAACTGAACAACTTGCATTTGCATTAGCTGTTCAACAAACAGTAAGCAGTGCCTTGATTCAGTCCGTTTCAGATTTTACAACTCCGACAGAATGTTTCAAGTTCTACTGGAATAATTCCTGAAGTACTGTACTTTTCTGAACAATACAGAGAAGATTAGCATGGTCCCTGTGCACGGGTGACGAGCAGATTACTTTCTCTAATGTCAGTCTGCTACACAAATCCATATACAGCTCTCAAAGAAACCCTAAATGAAAAAATATCAAGCTGTGATCATACTTAGAAATTGGAGTCTTTTTTTAAAGTTGCACATTAAAGGAAACAAAATCAAAAAGTGACAATTTTATCCTTGTATTTTGAAATAGATAGAGAACCATTCAATAAATCATGAGGAAAAGAGCAGATTTGGCAATACAAAACAATTTCCTATGCAAGTAGTAGGGATCAGAGGTCATGGGCACATGAACAAGTTACTATGAGGTAAATTGTTGCTGCCCAACTTCTCAGCACCTGGGGCTGCATACAGCACCAGAGACCTCATGCTCTGGGGCTACTCTGCACCACATCCTCTGGGGGCCATTACCCACCCCCCAGACACTCTGCACAGCCCATCTCCTCTTCCAAGCCACATGCATCGCCAAGCTCCCCTGCAGCCATAGGTGCAACACCCCCACCACATCCCTGCCATGCATATTATATGAGGATCCCACCTGCAGCACAGTCGGACTTTCTATTGAGCTGCCCAGCCCCAGAAATAGAGACAAGAACCAGAAGCTGGAGGAGGGAGGGAGAGGCCAGAGACCATGGCTGCTGCCACAAGAACAATGGCTGGAGTGGTGGCCAGGAAAGAGCCTGGGGCTGCAAACTGACTACTGACAAGTCACATGCAGTCCACTGGCCAGAAGTTGGACAGCCACGAGTTAAACCAAGGCATGGATTTACCCTTTGTCAGTTACCGTGTGGTAACCATTTGCATGCCCTCTTATTCCAGGGTATGTGAGAGCTAACCACAATAACTTAGTCCCCACAACAAAGTGAACAAACCTCCTTCTTCGACGAATAAAATACCATGGATTAGCTTTAATTTATCATGTGCTAAAAGCATGCCGAGTCAATAACTGTGGAGTAATTGATGCATCAAGGAGTAAATTCCCACTCTGTATACCTTATGATAACTTGTTAGCATGCATGTATACCAAGAACACCACCTTGTACAGTTTTTATTTGTAAACCATGACTATTTTTCTGTTTACACAGATAATGTCAATTAGCCACCATAACCAAAACCACATACAATATTTTTTAAAGGTTCTCACGCACATGAGACAGGGATAACAAAAGCAATCAACTGAAATAAAAATCTATATAAAGGAGGATTGGCTCAAGTCTCTGTACAGCAAAATGACAGAAAGCATATGAGCAAAATTCTCTTTGGAGTCCCTTTTACCTGCAAGTCAATTACATATCTTCCACAATACATTCTATGACAGTTAATCTATATCTGGGGGGGGAATATTTTTTTTGCCTGGAAAATGGTAATTTTAAATGAAGGTAAGATAATTTTGTTTCCCATACTCTTTTCTGTGAAGCAAAAATATATTATCCTATATACTGTACCTTGCCAATCCCAACATCCTGATAACTAAGATAGCCTGAAGGAAGGTTTGCTGATACAGGAATATGCTGCTCATTTGTCACTACTCTCCCATCTTTTAGGAGTGGAAGCCAAGAATAGCCAACTGCAAAAATCAAAGTGAAATAATAGTTTACATATATTATATATTAATAAAAAGCTGATATGGAAAGTGTCAATGGATGTTCAATCATTTTTGTTACCCATATACATGATAACATGCAACTTGTAGGCCCCCTCTACACATGCAGGTAAAGGCACAATGGACTAATGTGCAATTCACATAATAGCACCTCCTGCCATGCCACATGTGCACGATTGTGGGATTAAATGTGGCACCACACAAGATCCCATTTGTGCAATTGTGGGACTGCACATAAGAGCCCATTGTGCTTATTGTCAGTGCAGGGGGAGCCTGATGCCAGGCTCCTCCTGCACCACCAAGAAGCAAACTCCTGCAGCTGGGAGCGCCTCAGCTGAGGGCCCCCCAGTGTCAGGAAGATGGCTGCAGCAGCAATCCTCCCATTTCGGGGGTTTCATGCACCCTTGGGGTAGGGGAGTTGTAGTTGCAACCTGAGGCTGACAGGACAAGCTGGGTCCTGGCACTAGAAGGCACGCTAACGGGTCCAGAATCTGCAGCTGTGAGACTGAGTTCTGGAAGCTGAAGGGTGATGCCAGGATTCAGAGTCCACCTCTACAGCTAGAAGCCCACAACTGATGGGGTTCTCAGTCACAGGGGAGACCCTGCTACGAGTACAAATTAAAGCTAGATAGCAACCAGCTATCAAGTTAGTACACATTTTCACGGTCTAACTTTATAGCTGGTTGGACCTTTTTATTATGTGATAGCTATTTTGCATGTGTAACTGGTCTCAAGGTAATTGCACAATACCTGGAATTTGAGCAGGGGCCCATATTACCACAGTCTAACTAGCTGAAGAGAGCCTATGTAGATAATTAGGCATGTAAAAAAATAAAAGTTACATTGTCATCTTCAGGTAAACAACTGTAAAATCTTTTCATTTGATACAAAAATATTCATAACCCCTAAAAACTGAAATTAAAGTAGCATCCTACGTGGCAAATAATTCTTTAATATTTAAGTGACAGAGTAAAAATAATTTCCATCAATGTAACAGGATTGCAGTTCACTAACTAAATATAGCGTGTAACACCAGCCAAAATCACTTCGAAGTATTAGCAAGCCTAACCTTGTGTTTCAACAACATCTCTCTTCTTGGTACTCCCTTTGCTTGAATTATCACAGCTGACATGGTAGAATGTGAACAACAAATGATGTTTTTCATGTAGCTGTGTAGGCAATTCTATTTTAATCTATAAGACAAAACACACACAGTTGGAATGATTTTTGTAAAGGAAAAGTCTTCAATTAGAGCAGTTACACAAAACTAATGAACGTACAAACATGAGGTTGTCTACTCTGACTTGACAGCAGCTTCATTTCAATGCATTTAAGCCAACATAAAATATCTAAAGTCATTCAATGTTTAGTTTACATTAGTTATTTATTTAAAAGTAATTTTGTTCAACAAAAACAATGCCCAATTTAATGAATTAATTCTATTGATCGCCCCCCAAATAGATCAAATACCATAAAAAGGTTTAAATTGCTCTCAGAATATTAAACTGAATCATGCAATGAGCTTTAATAATAATAATAATAATAATAATAATAATAATAATAATAATAATAATAATAATAATAATACAGGAAGCAAAACTATTTTCAATTATAGTTAAAGCTTAATTTAGCTGACATTAAAAAACCCCCAGAGTGGTAATTTAAAGTTCAGAAATTAAATATTACACTTCTTCCCTAACAGAGTACACTGTCTCCACATAACTTAAATTCAGTTTTCAAATCTTAGAAAAAAATACATCCTCAAAGAAATAAAAGCGACACCTCAACTAGAATAGCTTACCTCATCGTAAAACTCTGGGTTTTGGTGATGATGCAAAACAGTGGCAAATGCACTCCTTGTAAATATTGGCCCACCTGGTCTACCGTATATGCACTAAGAACATAAAAGAAAAAACACAAAGCATAATCTGTTTCCACTGGCCACTGAAAATCCTCCTTAAACTATTTTATTCTGTATTACATGGTGTCTTTTATCAAGAATGCTTTGTAATGATTTTTTTTTTTTTTTGACAGGTACTGCTACACAGTAATGATGTTTTGGCTTTTTTAAAGTAAGAATAAACTCATTGGAAATAAACAGAAAAGATTAAAACAATATGTTAAAAATTGAATATCTGTTAATATCCTTTTGATTGTGGGACTCATCCAAGTGCATAGTGTTAAAATACAATTAAAATATTAAATCTCAGTGTGATTGTTCAAAGCAATTATTAATTTCCCCCAAATTGGGGAAATTTATAGTATTAAATATGGCAGCAAATAAAATTGTTCCTTGTTTGTTCTGTGTGCAATTATTATTCCTCAGTTGATCTACTGAATAAAGGTTACCTTCCTAGTAACTGCTGTTCTTCAGGAGTAGCCTCATGCATTTGTATTTGTGGGATTTGGTTAGAATGACAATTACGAAGTCTGGGACGTCCAGGACACAACATCACCCTCCCGTCGCAAGTCAGTGGCACCATTGCAAGCAGAGGCGGAGTGGGATGGCGTACCAGGCAGGTGGGCAGCAAGGGTACCTGCGTTCCTGATGTATACTGTGCTGCTTTGCATTAGCTACTCTCGATTTAAGAACCTGGTTCGCATAGGATGGAGAAGTATTGGGGTTCATCCTACAATGAGTGCTGATGTACTGCAATAGCAGCCAGATTTCTTCTAGAGAGGCTTACAGAAGTTCCAGAGACTTGAGATTTAATAATTCAACACCTCAAGAATTTTCTGTAATGTAAAATTCTTGTTGCTGGACCATATGGAAAACAGAGGTATTTCTGAAGATTGTATTTCTTGATTTAAATTTTGCACTTGGGGAGTAAGTTATATCAGTAAAAGTCACCTGTTACAATCCAGGTTGATAGATGGAGTATCTCCAGTTGGACTGAGGATTTGACAGTTCTTCTAGAAAAGGAAGTCTAATGATGGTGCTACTGAATAAGGAGATTCTAAGAAAAGCTCTAACAACATGGTGGTACCACTATAATCACTGACGCTTTCTGTCATCTCTTGTACTATCTTGAGAATGATTAAAACTAGGGGTGAGGCTAGAGGCACAAACTAGGTCCAGCGTTTAACCCAAGAGTTTATATATTCCACAGTGAACTCTAATCTTTGTTTATACTTGAGCAGCATAGATGACATTTTGTGTTTTCTCTCAAGGCAAATGGACCTCCCTTGGATACCCCCTCCTCCTGAAAGTGGAAGCTTCTACTGAAATACCAAACCAGATATCACAGTAGTTTTATATGTAGACAAATTCAAACATAGCATTAATCATGGCTGAGGGCATCATATGACACATGAATCTCAGAAATAAAAACAGGGTCTCCAAGTGGTGGGAACTCTTAGAAACTGAAATACCTTTATGTCACAGGTGTTCTGTCTGAAATGGTTTCAACATTGATCAGTTAAGGAGGAGTTGCAATAGGTTTTTTTCCCATTAATATACAGACCTTGCCTGCATAGTAGTATGCATGAAGCAGCAAGATGTTTCATGCATGCTTTGTTCATCTGTGACTCAGTTCTTCATCTGTAAACTAAGGATACTCCTACTTCCATACCTCAAAGAGAAGTGTGCAGATAACTTCCTTCTTTGGGCTTAAATTAAGAGGATTTTGCTTTTTTGTTGCCACAGGGAAGAGCTGAATTGCAAACCTGGAGGGAAAGCTCTAGGGTGCTGCTGCTCCTTGCTGGATAGCTGAAAGAGTGTTTGTTACTGGTCTCCCAGGAGAAGGAAGAGAGCAATATATCTTAAAGGTCCATCCTGAGTAATTTTTGTTGTTTATGAATTTGTTACCTTTCATCCTAATCTTTGCCTCCTACATACACATCAAGGAATAAAGCCCATTAAAAATTGAGAGAGAATATGCTTATTTTTTGATAATTTAGTGGGGCCTTGGACATGGGGTTAAATGTTGTGTAGGTTCTGCCAAGAGAATCTTGAGTAGAAATTCATAGCTCCTGTGTCAGCAGAATCTTCATTCTGCCAGGAGCCTACTCTGTGTTACAAAAGTCTCCTGCAGATACAGGGAAGCCACCAGAAAGGACGAGTACATATACCTTCACTTTATACCAAAGTCTACGCCTTCTTAACAGTTGGCACCTCCCAGTGTGCACTGAATGGCCTTCTGGCTCAGTTGCTCTAAGTGGAACTGCACAGCTCCTCCTGGAACTATTTACATCATTTGAGAAGGAGCTGCAATAGATTTTCCTCATTAATACGTGTTCCTCCTGGAACACTTTTATCAAATGTGCAGGTAGGAACATGATCTGACAGTCTCCCTGTGGCAGGAGCTATCTACCAATACAATGTCTGGCATTGGTAGAAGCAGCTTTGTAATGTAGATAAGCCCACACTTACTAACCATAACCTCTCTTGTGGATCTGCTAGGTGCTGCCTTACAACTAGCAAATCATCTCACCATATTTATTTTCAGTCACCAAAATCACAAACCTTTAAAGGCAGAGAATCCTCTTCATCCGAGTCTTTGAACTCAATGCATACAGCAATATTTCTAGCCTGAAGCAATATTAGAAAAAGCAAAAGAAAAAAAACACATATTCAAAACTAATCATAAAAACAGAATACATATATAATTTGGTCATTAATATCTGACTAGAACTGGAATCTACAAGAATATGTTATTTTCCTTATACTCACCTTTGCAAATGACTTCTGACTGTCATATTTCAAGTACTTTGGATAGACGTACAGATGATTGTTGTAGATAGTGAAAGGCTGAGTATGTTTGGGTATACATGGAACAAATTCCTCTATTTCAAATGTTATTACTGTCTTGGTACTGTTTTCAAACTGTCTCATGGGAATGTATGATGAGTTAACATAATCTGAAAATTGTATTAAAAACCAATAAATATACTGAAACGAAAAATCATATTCAACTACTTAAAATATTTATTAATACTTACTTGGAAAATCTGGAGAGACATTATCAATTGTTACATCTAGATTTCCTAAAATAACGGGCAGCTTGGCCATCTTTTCAGGTCTATAAAAAATAAAATAAAAGTAGCCAGTTATGAAAAAGAGAAGAAATAGGGAACATAATATATAAGCTACCTTTGGAGGTCTGATTTAACAAAACAAGACAAAGTAGTCTTCTGATTCCATCTGATGGGAATTTTCAACATTCAGTTTAGGGAAATTCTAGTTAACATACTGGAAGGCAGGACAGTGTGGCATCTTATGGACTCATTGCCTTCTGCCCGATTTCGGGCTAATATGGATAACTACCTTCCTATATGAACTAGCCAATTGCCTGTCAAGAATGATGGGGGTGGGGGGAGAGCAGTCCACTTCTGATACCAATGTCTAGATCATGAATGAAGATGTTGAATAGTGTTGGCCCAAGGACAGAGCCTGGAAGGACCCCACAGGTCACCATGATGATTGACTTCCATCAACCACCACCCTCTGGGTCTGACCACAGAGCCAATTCCCCAGCCAGAGGATCAAGGTAAAGCCGAGGCTACAGTTGGCCAGTTTTACCAAGAGGTGATCATGAGATACCAGATTGAAGGCTTTTTTGAAGTCAAGATATACGACAATCTCCTCTCCCTTTTCCAGGTGACAGGAAGTAAGATTGATCAAGCAAGACCTACCTGCAACAAACCCATGCTGGCTATCCCTCAGGATGCTGCCATTGGCCAGTCTGTTAAGAATGTCTTCTTTGCTAATTTTCTTAAGACTTTCCCCAGAATAGGGAGGTCAGGCTGATGGCCCAGTAGTTTGCCAGATCCACTTTCCTCCCCTTCTTGAAGACAGACACCACATTGGGCTTCTTCCAGTCCTTGGGCACTTCACCAGAGCGCCAGGAGTTCTCAAATATCCGTGCCAGGGGCTGAGC